CCCCAAGTCCACACACCTCCAAGTCCACAAACTCCCAAGTATGTGTACCCCCATATCAGTACATCCTTTTAGTCAATGGACCTCAAGTCTGGGCACCCCCAAGCCTGTGATCCCTTAATCCCATGTACTCTCAAGTCCATGAACTCCCATATTTACACACCTCAAGTTTGTACCCCAAGTCTGAGCACCCCAAGCCTGCCCTGTCCCCCATGTCTCGCCATCATCGGCCTAGTGGCTTGATTCTATCTGCCTCAATGGCACTGTGGTTAGAAGAGTTTGGGAGGCTGCCCCCCACCATTGCATTGTGTCCAGGCCCCTCATCTCTCAGAAGGTTTTTAGAAGTCCCTGAAAAGGGGGTTCCCTGGTGTGAACCATCTGGGTCTGGGCTGAGAGAGAAGCTGAGGGTCCTTCCTAGACGCCTCTAGAGAGAACTAGCTGGGCTGGCCGTGCCAAAGCCCATTTCTACTTTTGGGGGGCCTGAGGGTGCTGGCCTGGTGGCATAGTGGTTAAGAGCTCGGCTGCTCACCAAAAGGTTGGCAGTTGGAATCCACCAGCAGCTCCTTGGAAACCCTACAGAGCAGTTCTACTCTGTCCTGTAGGGTCGCTATGAGTCAGAACCAACTCGACGGCAATGGGTAATGGGATGGCGCTGCCGGAGCTCTGCGCTGCTCTGTGTGGGCCAAGAAACACAGCCACACCCCCATGGTGCCCACGGGCAGAGTGGTCGGCAGGGGGTGATCAGGTTCTGTGAGGGGCAGTGCCGGGGGATCCAGGGAGACGCAGCCTTCAGCCCACAGAAAGCACACGGTCTCCCCAAAGAGGGTCCACGGCTCACTTCCTGGTAGGGTGCCGTGTTGGGAGGAGCAGGCTCCGTGCCGGGAATGCGGGGGTCTATCCTGGCCCCTGCTCAGGAGGGCCTGTCCTGGGCCAGCTCATCGACCCTTAGAGCTTCTGTGTCTACCTGTGAGAGGGGAGGGTCCTGAAGGCCACCTCACTGGGCCATAGGAGGATAAGATGAGGGTTTTCGGTGCAGGGAGCATGTCAAAGGCTGGCTATGACCTGAGTGTACAGATGGGGAAATTGAGGCCTCCAGGGGGCAAGGCTCCTTGCCCCACAATGTGAGAGTCAGGCTGCTGTGGCTCACCAGGCTTGCTGGGGCTCTGTGCTCACCCTTGTGCCCTGGATAGGTGTGCAGCCTGCTGGCCCCCTCGGGTGCCCACCCCACGCGTGTCCCAGGACTCAGAGTGGACGAGCCACAGGTACCGCTGCCCGGGACCCCATGCTGTGAAGACCCTCTCGTCCCCTGAGAATGCCTACCCCTCCAGCAGAGGCGGGCAGCGGGGACGTGGAAAGAAGGGCAGTGCAGCCAGGAGCCCCCCTCCAGACCATCTGTCCCCAGAGACTCCCTGGCAGGAGGGGGGGCGGGGATGGGGGAGAACTCTGGCTTCCAGAATCCGTAGGCGGGGCTGCAATGTCCACGTGTGAGCAGTCCTATCCCCTCGCCCACCAAGGAGGGAGCGTGAAAGTGTCCAGCTGGGAGGGTGCGGGAGGAAGGCGTCCATCATGGGGCTCAGCTCGGCCTCCCCCTCCTCCTGGGAAATTCCAGGCTCCCCAGACCCCTGACCCGGCTAGGAACCACCCCCCAACCCACGAGTCCCCAGGCCAGGCCAGCTGTCTGTCTGCCTCAGAGCTGGAACCCGACAGAGTGGGGAGGGGGCTCCAGGCTCCCCTCTTACCAGCCACCGCCCTCCCGGGAGCTGCTCGGCTCTGCCCGCCACCCAGGGCCATGTGCCCAGGCTGTGCTGGGGAGCCTGCTCTGTACCCCCTCCTTCCTTCCACTCCTCACAACCCCCTACCCATTGATCCCTCGGTTGCGGGGAGACTTCCCAGCCCACTTCTCCTGCAGCCAGCTGCCCCCCAGCCCCTCAGGAATGCTGTGACCTTTCTCCCGCAGAGCCTGGAACCCCCAGACGCCCTACAGGGACAGATGGTCCAGAAGGAGGCCCTGCCTTCTGGCCCCCAAGCATTGTTAGAGAGGCAGAGGCCTGGATGGCAGGAGACAGTGCCCCACCCTCTGCTATGCGGGGTCCAGAGAAGGGCAGGTGGGGTTCCAGGCTGGCCCAGTCACATGCTGCAGCAGAAGGACACCAAGGGAGCCCACAGCAGGGGCCCAGGGTGCCAATTGAACGTTCTGGAGGCTTCAAGGGGCAGGGGCAGCAGGGTAGCCCTGGGAGGGCACTGCTGAGGCCCAGCGCCCACAACCACGGTTCTGGCACCTTCCAGAACTGGGGAGCTGAGGAGGCCTTCAGCGGCCACCCAGGAGTGTGGGTCTGAAGCGGCCACGTTGCTGTAAAGACCAGACCAGGCTAGTGGATGGCTGGAGGCCAGGTGTCATGGTCATCCGGAGGGGGGCTGGGCTGAATTTTGGTGAGTCTGGCTGGCAGATCCAGCTGACAGAACTTGGCCATCAGATGTGAAAGCTGGGAGGACCGGCAGGCCTGGGTCTGGTGCAGTCGGGTTGGGGGGTTGCGGGGCTGCACTGAGGAGGAGTCCAGATCCGGATGTGTTGAAGTTGAGATCCCAAGGACATCCAGCCCCTCCCCTGCCACCAGCACTGGGCAACCTCCCTGTCCCTGCCCAGCTCTCAGCCGGTCCATCCCACTGCTTCTCATGGTTCCGGGTGGGGAGGGGACAAGGTTCATAGCGACCACTCAAAGGCACATGGAGCGGGGGTCGGCTTAGTATCACCCGGGGTCCTGAGGAGCCCCCGGGAGCCTGTGGCCCAGGTCCTGCTCCACGGCAAAGGCCACGGTGGTGACTGACTGCCGGGAGCCAGGCAAGGCAAGTGCTCCCTCAAGTGGGGGGCATAGGGGGCCCAGAGCCACCTGCACAGTGAGGGGGATGTCCCATGGGAGGGCTGGCAACCTGAGGCCTCAGAGCTGGCCCGTTCTCTGTGGGCAGCACAAGTGGGTTCACGGCTGCCCCCTCCTGGGCAGGCAGGGGCTCAGGGGGCTTCCCAGGCCTGTCATCTGGTCCTTCTCACCGGAGCCAGCAGGAAACCCCCCCAAACCGGCCGGCTGAGTCACCAAGGGGGAGGAGAACCCCGCTGGAGACGGGTCTTGGTTTCATTCTGAAAGGGCCTCGAGCACTCAGCGTTGCGCCAGCGTGTGGGGGACAAGAGGGGACGTAAGGAGTGTCAGCTTGTTCTCCCGCTTGCCCAACACCACACGGGTGTGGCCCCAGCCCCACAGGAACACGGGTGCCAGCACCCGGGGTCGGCGTGCCTGCCCGCCCTAGCACCCAGGCTGAGCCTCCGTCCGGGATCTGAGAAATGCCAGACAGCTGGGGCAGGATGGCCAAGGAGAGGCCAAGGGGGAGGCTGGCCGCTGCACCCAGGGTGTGCCCTTCTACGGGCATGAGGGGCCGGAGGAGCCAGGGCGCCCAGGCTCAGCTGGCCCATGGCAGCGCTGACGTGAGAGCCATTTCCGCACAGGACACCTGTTCCTGGGTCTCTGGCTGCATGCATGGGCGACCCGTCTGTCCCACAGGGTGCTGAGGTCCACAGACAGGCAGCGTCCTCAACTGCCTCGGCCTTCAAGCCGGCCCCAGCGGCCACAGGTGCACAAGCCCCCCGAGGTGACAGGTGTGGCTCCTGAGCCCGGCTTGTGCACACCTCCTGACCAGTCCCCAGGCCCGGCTCTGCCCCACACCTGCTGCTCGGGACCCGGCAGCCCCAGGAACCTCGTGGGGCCAAAGTGAGCACGGCAATGAGAAGGGGGAGGTGATGCTGACTGCCCACCCCAACATTCACTCACCCACACTCACGCGCACACAACACACTCACACACACACTCACACTCACTCACACACTTGCCCGCACACACTCACACACGCTCACACAGCACTCTGTGAAATGCTGCCCTCATTTCCATTATTACCCTTAAGGTGTATCAGCACAGGATGAGGGGCAAGTCAGCTGAGAGACCACGGGGACCCCTCATGACTGCTCAGCCCCTCCCCATGTTAGCCCCAGGCCGAGCCTCGTGGTCACCATGCACCCCCAGCGGAGCCCCCGGCAGCAGCATTGGGCACAGGCGGGCTCAAGTCTGCCCTGGGACTCTCTGTCAGCCGCTGGGGCCACTCGGTCCAGGTGTCCTACCCCTTCCTCCCACACGCCTGAGCCCGTTTGCACTGTCCCTTTCCTGGACGGGGCCTCTAGCCCCACCCCAGTGCCCCTCGTCGGTCTGCCCATCGAAGCCCCACCTGTCTTGTGCCAGATGCCTGCCACACACACCTCTGCTCTGTGTTGCCCCTCCCCCCCGGGCCCTAAGCCTGCGGCTCCACTGGGCCTTGAAGTGTTCAGCCAGGGTCCAGGGACCAAGGCCAGATCCCCGTCCCCAGCGGCCCCTCAGAGCACTGCTGTCTCCTGGGGCAGTCACAGCTGTGGGGTGTCTGCCCACCTTTCCCGTGGGGCACACGTGGCTCCTTCACCCCTGGCGTCCTGCCTACCCCCCTCAAAACACAGCGCACTTCGATGCCCGCAGCACAGGATCTGCCTGGCAATCAGCCTCCTCCGCCCCTCGGCCCTGCCCATGGGCCTGCAGGGGCCCAAGCCTGGACTCAAGGGTCCCGAGATGGGGCAGCCCCCCTCGGCCAGGCTCACCCCTCCCAGTGCAGTGGCTCCCCAGCCCTCTGAATTTCTGCCCTCCGCCCAAGGCCCAGATCTAGTCCCTGCTGCCTAGCCCACATCCTGGAGGCCTGGTTGGTGGGGCCGGCCCTCCCTATCCTGGGCGGAGGACCCCTCTAGCTTAGGGGGGTGAGTCTGAGCTGCAGAGGCAGAAGGAGAGGCATCCCCCTGAGTGGCGAGCGAGGTTCCAGGAAGACCATTTGCCTAGACACGCACAGCTTGCCACCTGCCTGCCAGCGCCTGAGTCCCCCGCCTTGGCGCGCATACCTGGGGTAAGCATTGCCCTCTGGCTTAATGGCCCGTGGCCCCTTACCCCGTGGCCTCGTCCACCAGCAGCTCCTCCTGCTCCCCAGGACCGGGGTCACTCGCCGCCTCCGCCATGGGCCTCACTCTCGTCCGGGGGGGTGCTAAGATTGAATCCGGGTGTGCGTGTGTGTGTTCGCGTGCGGTGGCCTCCTGGTGCTTCTCGGGCGGGCAGGCTTGGCGCCTCCACCCCCAGCTTAGTTTCACTTCCCCCTTCCGGCCTGCAGGTTGAGGTTTGGAGCAAGTGGGGCTCGGGCTGGGTGTTGCTTCTCATCTATTGCTGCAAGAGAACTAAACCACCGTCAGGAAACGTGAAGCAAGTTGCAGGGGCCTGGGGCTGCCCGGCAGGAGCAGGCTGAGCCCAGGCCACGGGGCTCCTACACCTCTGGGGGGGGGGGCTGTGGCCAGCTAGGACACCTCGCTGAGGTTGGGAACCCCATGCCCCACCGGGGCCCTGCAGGAACCCTGCTAGCAGCCTCACCCCAAGTCTGAGATGTGCAGCCTGTTGTCCTCACGTCTGTTCTGTGTTCCCTGAAGCACCCACATGGAACGTGGAACCTCTATTTTTCATAATTTGTTTTATTTTTGTTGTTGTTGAGAACAAACAGAGCAAAACATACACCAGTTCAACCTCTGGTACATGTGCAGTTCATCACAAAGGTGACGTTCGTTGAGTTGTGCAGCCATTCCCCCCTCCCTTTCCGAGTTGTTCCTCCCCTGTTAACAGAAACTCATGGCCCCCTGAGGTTTCTATCTAATCTTTCGAGTTGTTATTTTCAATTTGATACCATACAGATAGTTCTTAGAAGAGCGTAGTGCTCAGGACAGACATTCTTTACTATTGTTCAGTTTTAAGAGGTCTTCAGGGGATATTTGTAGTTTAAGGTTTAAAGATTCTCTCAGGGCAATAGTTTTGAGGGCTCGTGAAATTGGCACTTCTTTGCTGCGTCTCTGCCCACAGGCCTGTTCTCTGGTGTGTCCTCATAGAACACGGCAGAAACTTCTCCTGAGTTGGGGGTCCTTGTCCTGGATGCCCCTCACTGGCCTGTGTTCTCAACGGGGCTTTGAGGCTCATGGCTCAGAGGCCCATGGAGAGGTCAGCCCCACCCAAACATCATAGCGGGGAAATTTAGGGGCATTTCCAGGAAGAGGGAAGGCACGGGAGGCCGGGAGTCCCCCAACATGCAGCCCTCTGTTTCATTCTCTAAAGGCAGGGCCAGTGACGTCACTTGTGGGGCCCAGCATGAAACAAAGATGCGAGCCCCTTGTTTCCAAATCATGTACAATTTCCAGAGACTACCTCACACCATGTTCAAAAATGAACTCAGAATCTATCAACAACCTAAATATATGAGAAAAGACTCCTGGAAGAAAACCTAAGGGTGAATTTTCAGGACATTGTATTTGGCAATAGATTCTTAGTTACAACACCAAGAACATGGAATCAAACGAAAAAAATAGATAAACTGCACTTCCTCAAAATAAAAAACTTCTGTGCATCGAAGGACACTATCAAGAAAGTTGAGAGACAACTTACTGAACGGGAGAACGTATCTGGGTATCTCAGACATCTGATAAGGGCTTAATAGCCAGAAAATGTAAAAAGCTCCTGTAACTCAATAATAAAACAACAAGCAACCCGATCCAAAAATGGGCAAAGGACTTGAACAGACATTTATCCAAAGAAGATGTACAAATGGCCGACAAACACATGAAAAGATCCTCAACGTCATCAGTCATTAGGGAAATGGAAATTAAACCACAGTGAGATGTCACCCCACATCCACTGGGGTGGTTATTATTAAAAAAAAAAAAAAAAGAAAGAAAGAAAGAAAATTATGAGTGTTGGCAAGGATGTGCAGAAATTGGGACCCCCATCCATTGCTAGTGGGAATGTGAAATGGAAACCAGACTGGCAGTTCCTCAAAAAATTAAACATAAAACTACCGTCTGACCTAGCAATTGCACGCCTAGGTATATATGCAAAAGATTGAAATCAGGAAGTCAAACAGAGACTTGGACACCAATGTTCATTGCAGCACTATTCACAATAGACAAAAAGCAGAGACAACCCAAGTGGTATGGATTGAATTGTGTCCCCAAAATATCTGTCAGCTTGGCTGGGCCATGATTCCCAGTATTGTGTGAATGTCGACCATTTTGTCATCTGATGTGATTTCCCTATGTGTTGTAAATCCTGACTCTATGATGTTGATGAGATAGGATTAGCGGCAGTTATGTTGATGCGGCAGGAATCAATCTACAAGATTAGGTTGTGTTTTTAAACCAATCTCTTTTGAGATACAAAAGACAGAAGCGAATAGAGAGACATGGGGGACCTCATACCACCAAAAAAGTAGTGCTAGGAGCAGAGCGAGTCCTTTGGACCTGGGGTCCCTGAGCTGAGAAGCTTCTAGTCCAGGGAAGGATCGATGAGAAGGACATTTCTCCAGAGCCGACAGAGAGAAAAAGCCTTCCCCTGGAGCTGACGCCCTGAATTTGGACTTGTAGCCTACTAGACTGTGAGAGAAGAAGCTTCCTTTTGTTGAAGGCATCCACTTGTGGTATTTCTGTTATAGCAGCAGTAGATGACTAAGGCACCAAGTGTCCATCAACAGATGAAGGGATGAACAAAATGTGGTCCATTCAACCATACAGAGGAATCAAGTCCTGATGCATGCAATGACATGAATGAACCTCGAAAGCCTTAGGCTGAGTGAAATAAGTCAGGCTCAAAAGATTGTTTGCTCCCACTTCCATGAGATAACTAGAAAAGGCTCATTCATAGAAACCAGTTATTAGTGGTTACCAGGGGCTGGGGGAGGAGGGATCGGGAGTTACTGCTTCATTAAAGGGCACTGAGTTTCTAAAAACAAAAAATTGTCACCTTCTTATCAAGCAGTGACAGCAGAGCATTAGCCCCCGCCTGGGGCCTTCTGAGCTGCAAAGCCTGCCCTGGAGGGGTGTCTGAGGGCTGTGGCCACATTGGAGGCCTGGCATGGCTGGCCCTAAGCAGCCTTTCCAATCTCAGCTGACACCCGTGGTCCTTTTACATCTAGTCTTAGTCATCTAGCGCTGCTATGACAGAAATACCACAAGTCGATGGCTTTAACCAACAGAAATTTATTCTCTCACAGTCTAGGAGGCTAAAAGTCCAAATTCAGGGTGCTAGCTTCAGGGGAAGACTTTCTCTCTCCGACGGCTCTGGGGGAAGGTCCTTGACATCAATCTTCCCCTGGTTGAGGAGCTTCTCAGTGCAGGCACCCTGGGACCAAAGGACATGCTCTGTGCTAGGCTCTGCTTTCTTGGTGTGGTAGGAGGCCCCACCACCCCGTTCACTTCTCTCTCCTTTTATCTCTTGTAAGATAAAGAGTGACGCAGGCCACACCCAGGGAAAACTCCCCTTACATTGGGTCAGGGATGTGACCTGAGTAAGGGTGCTGCATCCCACTCTAATCCTCTTTAACATAACCTAGTCTTGCCTCATTAACCACAGACAGAGATTAGGGTTTACAACACATAAGATAATTACATCAGATCACAAAATGGAGGACTAGCACACAATACCGGGAATCATGGCCTAGTCAAGTTGACACATACTTTGGGGGGATACTATTCAATCCATGACACCCCCCAACTTCTGCCAGACCCAGAGCTCTGCTCCCTCACCCCTCTGCCTATCCTGACCCTCCCAGGCCTGGAGGCAAAGCCGGGTCCATCAGCTCACATGTGTAGGGCAAGCAGGCCCTGGCCCTTCTGGCAGAATTCTCCAGGAGCCATGCCCCCAAGATGCTCCGGGGTCCCCACAGAGAGTACCCTTGTCCCCTGGACTGCCTCATTCTCAGCAGACCACTGACCTCACCTCCTCCTTCCAAAGGAGGGGACCGCGGTAGGGGTGCCCTCACCTTACCTACGTCCATCCTCGCTCCCCTCTGAGGAGGTGAGCAGGCTCCTTCTCTGCTGGGACCCAGCTCTCCCCAAGCACTCACTTCCCCCCCTCCCAAACTCCAGGCCCATCTGGTTATGACTGGCTTGTCTCCCCCACCC